AACGTCGTTGCTCAGTTTTTTCGCTAATCTTTATTGTTAACTGTATTTCCAAATTTAATCTTATAAGAAGATCATATTAACCTGCAATATTAAGTATGGTGCCTACTTTTGCTAGTGCACACACATTCTGTGCATCACACAAGGCATGGTTTACGCGTCACACGAGCGATAGGGTGAACAGTGATGCAATCAACTATGCTACCTAGTACACAACTAAAATGAAAGCAAAATTTTACTACTGTGACCAAACCAAGTTTAATGAACCTGTGCTTGAACCAGGAACACCAGAATAGTAGCATATCGCTAAGCACTAACTGTTAGCCTCTTCCAGCTGAAAAACTAGCTGTTGTCTGCTGAAAAAAATTATACTGACATCCAACTGCAAACATGCACCTGCAGATGGCGTAGTGTGCGCATAAAACAAGTGCGAGATACCACAGGCAGCCCAAGCTCACAATGCGTGAAGTTATTATTGTTTTTTTTTACTTTTATGCGAACGTTCAGCGCATGAAACATGACATATTTACCACCGACATCTACTATTACATAACGACAGAGTTTGGTTATGCGAAACGTGACCTTCGCATTGTAGCATATGGTGGTGTTGTGTTACAACAGTTTGAATTTGTAAAGGTTTGTATGGGGGAAAATGGTAATCGACATTATATCTGAAATTTTGATATTTTTGCAATAAAAAGCTTACTTCAATGCCTTGTTGTCTGTTCTATTGTCATCTAGCTTCTCAGCTCGATCCGAAGCCTTTTAAGCGAGTTATCGCTTTTTGGTTTTCCTCTGTTAAGAGAGAGTAAAGGCTACACACTTGATTCTAGACAGACCCCCGCTTGAAGCAAAAAAAAAAAACCACTGAAATCCTGCCAGCTGCCCCAATTCCTACGCTGAATCATAGTGCAGGGTTAAGCGCTCCCTTTCAGTTAAATTCCAAGCCAAATTCATCTCCACAGCGCACGCTACAAAGCTCTGCATTGAAGAAAGCTAGCCACCCGGGTTGAACGATCATGCTGCTGGGACCAGCCATAGACACATTCGAAGCCCAAGTGGAATGCCGGGCTAACAAATTGATCCTGACCAGGGGAAGGGAGTGCACAGTTCTCAGCAAGCCATGTATTTTACTCTGGTCATTATGTAATAGTAGATGTCGGCAGTAAATATGTCACATTTCACACGCTGAACGTTCACATAAACATAAGAAAAAAATGCTAATTAAGACAATTTACACCTTTTCACGTTCTTTTGTTACTATTTGTCTTAATTAGCATTTTTGTCTACTTATTATTCAACTTGCTTTGTAATCATTCAACTGAACATGACAGAAGTTCTGTCGAAACATGTCTTGCAAACTTAAAAAATTGGTCGTTTTCCTTAAAAACAATTATTGGATTCAGCTTTTGTGATAACCCCTACCTCAACCTTGATTATTCTGGATATCACAAAAACTGAATCCAATAATAATATTGTTGTTTAAAAATGCATGGTTACCCCTACATTTTATGTTATGAAATGGAAGTGGCAAGCCTGTTCAACACGTGATTAGTTTCT